ATGCGACGGTTTGCTTAAACCTCAATAATAAATTAAGATTAAATGTAAGAATTTCGATGAAAAGGCAAGAATTGGATTAGACTTACTCTCTCTTACAAGTGTTATACAATAATATAATTCACGTCGGTTTATCGCCAAGAATACTGCAAACGTTTCGAATATCTTCAAAAAAAGAAATTCTTTGCTTCATTTTATGCTGAATACAAAATGTCCCGCTTTAAAATTTTAAATGATATCGAATAGCGATAGGCGATAGATAGGTTAGAGAAGAGCAACTGAAAATAATCCAAGATATTTTTTTAAGCGGAGATTTTGCTTTGCGAAATGATTTTAAAATTAAAAAAAAAAAAATAGTTTTTTGCTCACCACACACCAAATATGGAAAAATTTCCATTTATATTATGTAGGCGAACCTATTGTATCTGGAGAAAAATGGAAAAATTTTGCCTCGGACAGCGAACGGTAGAAAATATCGACAAACAGTTGTACCAGCCACAAAAAAAAGAGCTTCAAAGATCTATTTGTCCGTGTGTTCATCTCTTCATCTCTCCGGGAACTCATGTGTCCAATATACCTTCCTAACGTTTGAAATGATTCTGAAATATATTTGTATTGTTCGTTCAATATCCGGCGTAAGTAGAAGCTCGTTGCTGGCTGTCGAGATTGCAGTGACAAAGCTCACTTAGAATTTCCAATGCCCGGATAGTAGAGAAGAGATTAGATATTCCGGTGTTGAATGCAGTAAGTAAAAGCCTTTTATCAGCCTGGAGCTGAGTCTAGCGTATCTCTGATACAAAGCAAATAATTGAAGCTCATAAAGCTATTTGTTTGCAAGTGAAAATGTTAATCAATCGAAACATATTGAAATAATTGTATATATGTGGCTTAGTTAGTTCAAATTCTGCTTTTCATTTATAGCTATAAAAATAAACTTATGGATATCTCTGTTCTTCTGAAAAGTCCATTCTATATATCACAATTTAAACGCGGCCTTTGCAAATGCATTTACGCACTGCGATCAATTCTAAACCCAATCATAGAAAAAAATAAAAGAAAATTCGCTTACAATTATTACGTTTCTGTAACAAATTTAATAAAGAAAACTACTTCATCTTCCATTTATATGTATACATATATAAATAAATATGTATTTTTAAAGCGTATTTCTTGCAATGAATTTATACTTCGATGCCTCTTATAAAAAGTCATTTTTCGTTTCATAACTTTTTCTACACATCGTACAACTTTTATGAAACAATAGCTCATGTACTACACATGAACTCTGTGCTTAAGAAGGAGTTATACATACATATTGAACCGTAAAGTAAACTAAGTAAACCGTCATGAAACCATAAAAATCAATAATATTTTTATATATATTCGGTAATTTCTGGATATATGCACACTTTGTTATTCGGTTTGTGACATTCGGAAATCGAAAATCGCGAATCGAAAAACCCGCAAAAAATATATGTTTTTTCGATAATTATGAAAATAAATTTTTAAATGCAAAGTGAAATATCTTGTATTTGTCTATCTGTTCGTCTCTTAGGCTATTGTTTGAATTATCAAGGAATTATTAAGGAAATATTGAAAAAAAAAAAAAAACGACGCTATATATAATAGATACTTGCATGTATTTCGATCAGCGATATCTATAAGGGAAAATTATAAAGCAATGTGAACCAAACAAAATCAAGGATGTGCGTCAATGTACGATCAACGATCAAATTCGATGACAATGATTTTGACCTTTCAGTTAGAAGCTTACGGTAATGCTGATGGAGCATATCCCAATTCTTGGTTCAACGGCGTAAGAGAGGCGATTGTGATACCAATCACAAAGAAGAACCTGGAAAACCAAAAACAAATTCGCAAATAATGAAATGCAAAACTTTTTGAACGAAAACGCAGCTCAAACTGTCAAAGAACGTTCGAACATCTTAACAGTTGATAAATCAACAGTTTGTAGACGTTTGTAGACGTTTGTAGATGCGATGCGAAGGATCCAAAAAGAGGCAAAATGGTTAACATACGAATTGATTAAAGATGCCATTTCGAACCGTTTGAACATTGCAATTTTGTTGCTTGCCAGGCAAATAACGAAGACTTCTTTTGTGTGTGTAATATGACTGGCGATGGAAAGTGAGTCTATATTACGACAATCTCAAGCGCAAAAAGTCGTGAGCTAGTTTAGGAGAGCCATCCTCGCGGACACCGAAGCGGAAGATTCATGGTCATAAGGGCAAGCAAGGGGTGGTGTATTACGAGCTGCTAAGATCGATTGAGACTATTACCGCAGATGTCTATCAACGTCAAGTGAATAAATTGAATTAACCGAAGCAAACTCATCCTCTCGTATAACAACGCCCGGCCGCACGTTGCAAGAGCTGTCAAGTGTACACTGTTGCAGCTCAAAAGGTAACCTGTCCCGCATGCATCAAAAGTACTACCTAATGACTACCACTTGTTCCCACCGATGCAGTACGTCTTGGCTTGCGCGCCGTATAAGTGCGAATAGTGCCTTTTCAAGTGAAAAAATGCTCAAAAATATACCTGCAAGCACCTATCTCAGTTGGTTGTAGAAGTACACCTACGATAGCTAAGTGAGCATAAGAAAGAAGTCTGGGAAGAAGCAATAAGTTACATATAAAATTTTGTCATGGCGTTGCCTTTCATTTGTTGCTTGTCATCGCAGTATCTTTTTGACATCTCAACTTGTCAGATACAATTATATATTTTTACGTTAATATGAGCGCTTCAACCACCTGTGCAAATTACTCGACATTTTCAATCGAAATGCGGTTAGTTAGCGCACGTGAGCTTACATCAGTATATTCGTCCTCTTATCTCTTGTGAAAAGCTTGAAATTCTCTTATGCAAATTCATAATTCGCTCGTGCAAGCGAGATAAATTAAAAAACTCAAGGAATAAGAAAAATGCTGGAATTTATATATATGTACGTGTGATAGGATCGTAACTAATACAAAGTAGCAAAGAGTATGAAAGCAGGTTGTTGGGGCCACAAACTTTTTCTTTGGATACGGACTACAAAAAATTTGGATTACGAGCCCTACCAATAATATGTGTTAGGTGACCATCTTCGGAATTGTCCATAGCCTTAAGTGGATGCAATTGATGGAATTAAATGCCTTTGATGTGTTATATAGTCGAAAACCAAACTGAAAATCCCAACATCTTACACGATAAGAGAAAGAATTTCAGTTAGGCACGCGAAAAGCATATGAAACATATATATCTTAAATGAGAAGTATTTAAGATTCATCTCAAGCCGACTGTAATTTTCTTACTTATTATTATTGTATTGTAAATTTTTCCTACATTGGTTTTCAAAGCAAACGTATGTAAGTACGTACACCTTTAGATTTTCATAGAAAATCGAGACAAAAAATTTTATATCTATGGCTGTCTATGGCAGCCACAATCAACAACACCTACGTATTCATTTTATGACAGAAAAATACAGACAATAGAGAGCTTCCTTTCAATTTCCAACTTGGCAGTGATTGTTTGTTAAATCTGAAGAAGCTAAGTTTTGTTAAATAGTTTTATAAAAACTTTTTCATTAAGTTAACTAAAAACGAGCCCATCAATTATGAATGGGAAGAGATTGGCAACGGGGTCAAATAGCAGAGTCATACAAAATTTTATAAAATATAAGACAAAACAAAATTCTGTTAAATCTATATAAATTTAATGGTTTTGAAGAAAAAACTGAAAAAAAAAAAAAATTATATAAAAAAAAATCTTTTTTTGGCAAGTAAGCGAAATCTGTTTTAGGTTTCACACACATTTTTCTTCGTCCTCTTCTTCTTAATCCGCTGCATCTTTTTCTTTTTTTTCTTCTTTTTCTTCTTCGCCTTTGCACAAGATAACCTTTAATATAAATTTCATTGTAAATATTTTGTAATTTTTGCGCTTTTTAAATGTCATTTCCACTAAATGTTTACTAGCAAACTTGCCACAGACACACAAACATATATAGTATATCGAAATGAATCGAATATGTGTACGAATAAAGTGAAACATTAGACCAAATATATCCATAACCGAAACGAGAAATGCCTTTGTTAGTCAAATTCTCGGAATAAAGCAAATACAAATCAACTTTTGCTTCATAGAATATGTACATATATATATATATATATGTATATGTAGATGTATAGGTATGAATTTAATCAGTTTGAATTTCAGTTTCAATTGTTAGTTGCTTCATTGGTTTTGAGGATAGCAACCGCAATAGTATAGTGCTGCTTACTCATAATACCCTCAGCGCTGTTTACCCAACACTTGCTTTAACAAAGTTTTCCTCTTAAGATATTTCTCTTAATTTTTTTTTTTTTTTTTTTTTTTTTTTTTTTGTTTTATTTTTCTTTTGTGCAACTTAAATGTCAGGAAAAATCATGGCAATTGTGTTGGATAAAACACAAGAACAGTAAAAATAGACTTTTGAATTGTTGTTGCTTATGTTGTTTTTGTTGTTGTTATTATTATTATTATTGTTTATTTTATTTAGAGAACATTAAACCATTTCTGTTATTATAGTGCATGGAAACGTGTTTTATTTTATTTTTTTTAATTTTTTTTTGTTTTTTTTTTTTTTTTTGAAAAACAAAACAAAATTTTATAAATACTGGTGGAGTTAAACGTTTGACCTATTGTGATTCTTTCTTTGTTGTCTTTTTCTTTTTTTTTCTCTTTTTTTTTTCTTGCTATTTATTTATAAACATATATATATTATTATTTTTTCGTTTTTTATTAAAACTATCAATTTGTCTTACTGTCTGCTGTTGTATAATTTAGAGGCATTTGTTTTTTTTTTTTTTTTTTTGTCAAAATTTTCATTTTCACGCAACTGAACTTTCGCGAAGTGTTTGCGGACCCTTAGACGTGCTTATATAAAAATCATTCATTTTGTACTTGTCAACAATTGCTGAATATTGTGGTCAGGAAAGCGATACTGATATCTTCCTTTTCAGGTGCTACGTGGAATTGGTGACATATGTTCGGAAACAATTTGCCGTATTTGCACTTTGTCATTTTAGCAGGCAGTCGCGAAGAGCTCTTTTCACTTTTGAGTCGACAGGCTCGTTTTAATTAACCTACATTCTCTAGAGAAGAGAAGGCTGGTTCCTGTCGCGAGTATCACACCTAAGCTCATTAGCAGTGAACTAGAGTCATAATCAATGAGCTCGATCTCTCGTCTCCCACTTAGACTCTCTAGGCAACTTTTTCCGTTACGCTTACCGTGGTGTAGGCTTAACTGTAAACTCTATTTTTTTATACAAGTCCTCTGTAAGCACTTTAATGAAAACTTTCACTTCTTCTGCATTTCAGATAAAAGGGATCATTCGAAGTCTATTGTATGCTACATTACTTGCGATAATGGTGTACGCGATACTCAAGACAACTTGGCATAGGCTCATCAATATATTCAAGGGCAATTTGCAGGATCGAAAAATCTTTAGGAAAACTCTTGCCTATGATATCTGCTAAAGGCTTTATTGCTTCAAATAATTGGAATTATAACCAGTAAGAATATCATATTCGTCCAAGACCGACTCTTTTACACCCATCACCGTTAACAAAAGAATGACTAAAAGAGGCATGCTATCTTTTAATTCACATCTTTAACATAACATGTACACAGAAAAACACTTGCAACAATGTAATGGGAACACTATTGCTTACTCAAATAAATGCAATGGTTTTAGAGCGACTTCTCGACCTCATTTATCTAAATTAAACGCATAACATTAAAAACCTCTGTACATGTGAGAAATTTCCCGATTCGAACTATTTCTGCATTGAAGATAATCTTATAGACAACTCATGCCTATTTTCAAATTGTGATTTTCTGTGGGAATATGCAGACGCAACATAAAACTCGAATCTCTTTCAATTTCTTAATTAATTAAAAACTTAACCGTAGATGACAATGCACTTGTCTTCATTCATAAACCATGATTTCTCAAACGTGTACTTGTGCAGTTCGATACCGAACAATAGCATAAATAACATAACATAAATAAAGTAAGTCAAGTAAGGTGTGTTTAAAAATAAACGAAAAACAATTAAATATTTTTATTAATTATTCCGTTAATGGGAATCTATTCCTCGTCACAACATGGCTTAAAATATTCAAAGAAGAGCATAAATTTATCGGTTTTTGAGTGAAAATCTTTTATTTCGCTGAAATCCTCGTTCCAATCGAATAATTTTTGTTGATCTTGCTTTTGCGTTTTGCTCAATTCGTTCGCATAAAGTTCGATTGAATTTGAAACGTTTTCATAAAATTCCATATAACGTCCACGAATTTTATCCATAAATTCACGAATTTTATATTTCTCAATCAAATTTTCCGCTTCGTCAGAATGAACGATTTTAACGCTAACTTCCCTATCAGCACTCAGTATATCTTCCGTCAATCTATACATATTTAATAAAGTTTGCTCACTTTCGGAACTCTTTATATTTGCCAAATCTTTAGCGAACTTCTCGTGGCGTCTATTGGGAAGCTCCCTATCGGGGAAATCATTGTTTCGCTTTATCTCTTCTTGAATTTTCATAGTGAAGTCCAAGAACTCTTCACTGCTCTTCAATGTAAAATCGATGAAATTGTTTAAAACTTGCTTATACAACTTGTTATGTTCATTTAATTGTTCGTCGTCCGCCGATGTGAAATCAACACTCTTCGGTACTGGCGTTGTTAAGCAGGGCTGAAAGTTTTTCACATTTACGCAATATATATTCAATATTTAATTTTTTTCTTTTTTTTAATGAATTTATAAAAATATTTACCTGAACGACTAGAATTATTCCTAAATAAATAATAAAATTATTCTTCATTTTTTTTTTTTAAATCACGTTTTCGGTATAGTATAGTATAGTGTAACTGAGCGATGAGATGCTCAGATGATTTCTATTTAAATATACCCTAAACTTTTTTCTATATGCTCTACAAAATAAAAAGAAGATAAGGAGAATAGATTTTAGTGAGAAAGTTCAAGAATTCATTTTCAACCATATAGAGAACGGTTTGTTATATGTATTGAGCAATCACGACTTTGCTTCGGCATTCAAATTGCGGCGCATCGTCTACCATTTTCAATCTTTTTACTTACACTGGGATAATATCTTTGACGGAGAGACAAAGACAAAAGGGTGAGGAGAAGAGTTTCTACAAAATCAAATTTCCAACCCTTTTAAGTTGGCTTATAAATAATTAATACACATGTGTGGATGTAAAGATAATAATGAATAAAACAACATTTTCCTGAAATATTGAATTTCAAGACAAAAACAAAATCGTTCGCCTTTAAAAAAAAATTAGTTTAGATCCTCACAAAAGTTGGCAGCAAGTCTTATGGGCATTTCGATAAGCTAAGCAAGTGCGGTCATCTAGGGCGACATATGTGTGCGCATATATCTTTTTGTGTCCATATGAACGTATATGTATGTCTACGCATGTGCATTATATGAAAAAAGGCATGACGGCCGTACCAACTAATAGATTGTAATAGAACCAAACAGAGTAAAACTTGAATTTTATTTTGATAGATTTTTCCGTATATTTAATAATGTAATACACGCTCATACGGTTCCTATTAAAACAGATTATTATTTAATATGGAAAAGCTCTGCATTTATGTACATTGTACGAATGCGCATATGATGGATCATAAGTATGAATAATATCGAGATTCGATGAATTATAAACGGACATATGGACATATATTACTAATTTTTGAACTTGAAGCCCCAGTTCTTGTTCCATAAAACTATTTAACATCATGATGCAGTAAACAAGCAGACGAATAAAGAGACGTAGACGTTGCTTTAATATATATATATATACTGTAGGGCAGCCCTCTTGTGGTTTAACGTTTCTATTCAACTGCCTTTGGGATTAAGTTCGCACCAATGAATTGTGATTTTTACGTCAACTTTAATTTTGTTTGCCATTCCGCGGACATCTACTTACGATTTATATACACAGAAATTTATATTTGCAACATTTTAGTGCTCGTTCTGATCTTGTCCGTAAAAATCTTACAATACAACTCTCTCGCGATTCGACTCACTTTTCGTTTCGCACACATTCTGCTTATATATCCTTTTGATAAGCAAGTAACTTCATCGCGACATGTTCATATTTGTGCCTTTTCCCGCTTTCATTCGAAAATATTTCTGTTATCTGTCGGATCATAACATTAATACGAGTGTCTGCCGGAAAATCCTGAGGAATAACAAAAAATGTTCGGAACCCAATCGTTTCATACTTTTTCACTTGGAATAAGTCTAACATAAGATTTTCTGTGGGCATATAGACAGACCGTTTCCTATATAGGTTGGCCGATGAATTGATTCTCCTACGCTGGCATATCGCAACGATCTCTAGTATATGAAATCTGAGAAGATTATTTCTAGATCTTGAAAGTGCTTGGCAAATCTTATATACCGCCTGTCGTGGCTAAGAAAAATAATTTTTTTTTACACAAAAACAACCGTCAATAATTTATTATCGAAATTCTTCAAACTCATGCGATATTATTTACTACCATTTAAAATGCGATAGTCGCTATAAGAGGGCGAAGCATGCGATGCAAAACTATTCAAATTCTTGACTACAATTATAAGCGTAGTCGTCGTGCAAAATATTTGGGTAATTCTTGCGTTAATTGTGTGCAGTAGGAGAACATAATAGAAGAGAAGCGAATACATTTTTGAAAGCTATGTTCATCTAAGCTATGTTCCTGTCACAGTTTGTGAATATGATCGCAACCTTCAATTTCAATTTATCTATTTTGTAACTATAAAGCTTCTAAAAGCGAATTCCATAAGTAGTTACATCGTTTCATTTCTTCTTTTTTTTTTTTGCAAAAACATTCTCTAAAAACTTCAGTTAACTTTAAGATAAGAGTTTAACATTTTCTGCTAATCAATTCGTTCAAGATTGTTAGATAAATATCTATTATATAATTTACTGTCAAGTTTTTTTATTTATTCAACTACTTAAGCATTGGCGAACTATTTTTGCTCACAACATGGCTTACTCCAATCTAACATCATTTCTTCCTCTTGCTTCTGAGTTGCGTGCAATTCGTGCGCATAAACTGCGGCTGCTTTCGAAAGATTTTCGTAACACTGTATACAACATTCACAAATATTAGCCACAAATTCTAGAATTTTATAAAATTCGGTCATATTTTCTCCTTTTAGAGGATCTTTTTTAAAATCATGTGCAAGTATGTGCATCGAGGCTTGTACATCAACGGATGCCAGATATCGGGTAATTTATCGTTTTTCTTTATCTCTTCTTCACTTTTCGTACTAAGTGAAAGAACTCCTCCCCAATTCAATTCAATTTGAAAATCGGCGCACTTTTTCAAAATATCTTTATGGAACTTGATACAATCACTTAATCGTTTATTATTCGGCAATTGTAGAATCTCCGCTATCCGGCACCGGTGAACCTGAAAATTTTCTTTATTCACTTATGTATTTTAAATTATTGTAATAATACTTTTTATTAAGCGTTACATGGCGCAGGGGAAGTAATCCTAGAAAAAGGTAATAAAATAACTCTTCATTTACTTAAATCACGTTCTCAGCATTTTATTGCAACTCACCGATGAAATACGCAAATGATTTCTATTTGAATATTTTCTAAACATTTTTCTATGTGTTTTACGAAATGAAAAGATAAGGAGAGCAAATCCAAGAACTTCCTTTGTGCCGATTGAACAATCACGGATCCTGAGGAGTATTTCTATGCTTTGAAACGAGTACGTATTATGTCTAATGATAATATCTTGAGTTTGCAAATCGTTTTGGACCGATAAAAACAAATGAGATACAATTTCAAGAAAAAGATTTAAATCTTGAGTCAAAAATTGATTACTTACATCACCGTTGACAGAATCATATAATTTCTAGATAAGACTAACCTTCAAACGATAAGTTTACACAATTTCATGACATTCTAGTAATTAATTGTTGTAAACGATTCTACATTTACGACTATCAAAACAATGGAAAATTCCATGCGATATGTGACAATGGATGAAACATGGACGGACGCTTCGTTGAACTGCATTAGACTTAGATCAGCAGTCGGCCTAGTAGACGGCAATCAGCGAAAGCCAGAAAGCTAGTGTCACCAAAATAAATGTAAAAATGTCATAAAATTTGAACATATATCGCCTGAAGGTCGTTACTATCCAGAAATGATCAGATGAATTTGCAATATATGTATTCGATCGGAGATTTATTGAGTGAGATATGATATTTGCTTATACAAATATTTATAATGACCTTAATGAGAAGATTTTTCTTTAATTGCGAAACTTTCTCTCTTTGGTCTTTTGCGAATATTTGCATTAACCTCTGTTCAGATAATTTCCGAAATAATTTCCTTAAATCGTAAGGAAACGAATTAATAAATCGTGTTTATCAATGCTTTAAATTTAAACAAAGCTTTGCCAGTAATTTAATTAAATATAGGCTTTATTGCGTGTACATTACGTGTAAAAAGTTACTTTTAAAAATTTTTTGAAAAATATTTTTATATATGTGTTTTTTAATACATATATATATATCGCGTTTTAGAACTCCTACACTCAACAACATTTCATATTGTTATACATATACCTGTACGATAACTATTGTAAACTGACAAATAACTTTGCTATCAACATCAATCAATTGTTTCTTGAGCACCTTTTTTAAGTAATTTTTATGACAGTTCGGTTACATAGTTAAGCAGAGAAAAAAAGCAAAAAAAAATAAAAAAATAGAAGCCACCAACAAAGGATAGATAGGTAGATAGGTAGGTGTTAAGACATTCAATATATCTACATTCATTGAGACAGTATCCAATTGATGTTGTTCGCTATGCAGCAATTACCAAAACAAAAAACAAACTCTTAAATAACCAAAATTGGAGATGTATATACGCGTTTTAACACTCAGTAATTTAAACATTTATAACTTTAAAAGGTAACATTAAAGACTATCAGTTAAAAAGAAAAAGAAAAACAAAAAGAAAAACAAAAATAAAAATAAAAAGAGAAACTACAATAATAACAAAACAGCATATAGTTTGTCATCATGACGTTTTTACTGTAAGGCAGGCGGGTAAGCAGTCAAACAAACTTCACCATACATAGTAATTTTCATTGCATAGAAAATTTATACTTAACACATCATCATCATCATCATCATCACTGCTCAACTATTATTACATAAAAACAAAAAAAAAAAATAAAAAAAACAAAAAAAAAACTTTTTTTAATTTTTTTTTTTTCTTTTTTTTTTTTTTTTGCAATCTATTACATACTTGAGAAATTCTAACATTGTGTTGGTAATGATTTGTGGAAGAAAACAAAATTGTATGAAAGATTACAACAAGAAACAAAAAACAAAAAACAACAACAACAACAACAAACCGAATTATAGACAAGATTTGAAAAGTTAACACATTCTTATAAATTATGACTTGAATAAAGTGTCATTAATGTTGACTAAAATGAATTGTAATTAAAGTTAAGTGGCCAACGTAACCACACAGTATCAAGCGACGATCATACAGTAGCAAACCAAAATGCATGGTAGTGCGCTGTTAAATGTCTCTATAAGTGCATGTTCCTGCCATGGATGGCAATGTTTAATATGTTAAAAAGATTACTTTACTTAATGCGGCGTTCATCTTCAGGTGACACATGTAATTAATTGGAAATAAATTACTATTCAAGTTAAATTTTAAATTGCATTATATATCAAGAATAAAATCAGGTGATGATTTAAAATGATTAAAAAAAAAAAAATAAAATAAATAAATAAATAAATAATAATAAAAATAGCATGCATATATATGAAGCAATTAATTATGCGATTTTTTTTTTTTTTTTGATCTTACACATATACATATACATATGCTGATACATGACATTTTAATGACAAATTTGCAGAATATTTTAATTTTCGTTTAAAAAAAAAAAAAAAAAAACAATAAATCTCTACAATACAGTATCAAGAGATGATAACATTGCATCTTGGATTGTGTTATCAACTCATGATTTATGATGATCAATGTAATGAAAGATCGACGATGAACTATGCAAAAAGGAGCATCCATTTACAATAATGGAGAAGAAAGGACGCAAATTAATATGAAAAATAATACTTAGTTGCAAAAGACTTTATCGAAATCGAAGTGAAATGTTGTCATTTACTGAGAGAGAGAGAGAGAGAGAGAGAGAGAGAGAGAGAGAGAGAGAAAGAGATTGAGACAAACTTAACTACTAATACTCAAGTAAAGCTTCAAAACAATAGATTGCATGACGTTAGTGGTTGCACTTCGCAGTACGTAGGAGGTTGTTTTGAAAAGGGACAAAGTGTTTTCATGGATTGTGGGCCATATTTCGTCGCGAAGAATATTCCAACATCGATAAACGTCTACGGTGCAGACACTTCCACCGATCGCACTAAGGCAAACAAACAAACAACAAGTAAAAATGTTATTATTGAATAAACACGCTTATTAAATACCCTACATCACTTCGCCTAATGCAGTTAGTCGCACCCAAAAGTTGCACGTTATTTGAATGCAAGCGTATACGTTTCATTAAAAGGCCGTAAATTGTGGTGGTATCGCAAAAATGGACCGAACCAAATCTATTATGCCAAATTTAGAATGTCCAAACACTACTGCAATGTGTCTAGAAAATAGTCATTTTTTTCATATAAAAATACGAATATTCTAAAATACGATCTTATTTGGGGACCAATGCTAACCAATTTCAATAGCATTCGTCCTTGGGTCAAAACACGTCAGTGTACTAAATTTCGTGAAAAAGTAGCTTGAACAAAAATTTGCACGGACCGGCATGGACCGAAGGTCAGACAGGTTTTAATCGGTATAATCAAAAGTAGGTCTATCTTAAACCCTTCTTCTGCTTTTGTTACGTATATTCGTAGTATATCCTTTACCGCAAACGATGCGGAGTGCAATAAACATTGTTCGCGCGACTGTTTCGCCTCCACCTCTTGAAGATATTTTAAATAAACTTATGTAATGTCTATATATGTATTTCATAGGTTAAATCCGGTAGTGATCAATCAATAAATATTAAACATGTCTATACGCTTCATAGAGAAATCCTTGAACTTTGTCCTAAAGTGCAATCTTCTTATCTCTTTATTCAATAGAATCCATAATAATTAGTATTTAGAAAATATTTAAATAGAAATCATTTGAGCAACTCATCGATCAGTTGCAATCAATTATTGAAAAAGTAATTTAAAAAAACAAAAACAAAAATGCAAAATTATATTTTTATTTATTTAGGAGTGATTCTTCTAGTGTTTCAGGTAAAGCGTTTTCAAAATTATTAAAAACATTTTACATATATAAAAATGAATGCGTAAAAATTTGTAGTGCTATTTAACGTCCCCACTGCCGGACAGCGATGATACTCCAAGTGCGGAGGATAAAAAATTAAATGAACATAATAAGTTGTACAAGGAGATGTTGAAAAAGTTCACAGATTTCACAATTGAAATCAGTGAAGATTTCCTTGAATTCACTACGAAGATCACAGAGGAGATAAAGCAGAACAACGAATTACCCGATGTAGAGCATCCCAATCGACGTCAATTAGAATTTACTAAAGCGTTGGAACACATCAAGAGCTCCGAAAGCGATCATACTTTATTGAATATGTACAAGTTGACCGAAGATATAGTTGAAGCAACAAAAACACTCGACGATCCCAAATTTCTTACCGAGGAAACAAAAAAACTAATCGAAAAATACAAAGTTCGCGAATTTATGAATAAAATTCGTGAACGTTATATGAAGTTCTACGAAAGTCTCTCAGAAGCGGTTGATGTTTATGCGGACGAATTAAGCGAAACTCAAAAGCATGAACAACAAAAATTACTGGATTGGAATAAAGATTTAAGCGAAACGAAAGATTTTCAATCAAAAACTGATAAATTTTCAGATTTCTTTGATTTCTTTAAGCCATGCTGTGAAGGCCTGTAGATCACAACCTAATAAAATGTTCTTAATAAATCTGAGTTAGCATATTATTTGATTTGAATAACAGAACCGATAACATAGCGTTAAACTGACTTCTATGCTCTTATCATAGCAGTTGAATAGATGGATCTAAGAGTCCATGCTACGAATATAATCGTGATTTTCACGGACAATGAGACGCACATAAATCAGAATAAAATTTTTTAATGCATTCCCGCGTCACTTTCATATTTCTATATGTATAGCGTATGCAAATCATCCATAAAAGCTTGCATAGCGCGCCTTATCAAATTAATTGATTGATTGATTGATGTGACTTTTCGTATAAAAAATAAGTTTTCGTAGCTTCTACAAACCGTAGATCAGAGTTGCAGATGTATTTTGCAGTTCTACAAATACACTTTATAGATCCTATTCAATTATATAAGGTTTTGATGGGCACGAATAGAGCAATTAATTGACTCATTAGTTTGTCTGTGATATTGAAGACACAATTCCAATCTTAAAACCATGTCTTGAATATGCAACGATCTCAAATTCCTGCCTTTTGGATTATTTTAAGGCATCAGTAAGTTTGCTCGTTGATGACCTATATGCACCGCAACTAATCCAAATCCAAGAAATTTGAAATATACCTTTCAGTTTTATTGCAATAAACTACTAAAACTCGTGTGCTGTGTTGTGCGTTTTCTTCTTGACGACATTGCCACGTACGCTTATCACGCTGATAACAGTCACATATATAGACTTCAAATACTTTATATATGTGATTCGAAACATACATATCCCACGCACATCCAATCGGTTTAATCGTGTTTCGACATTCATCTATCTGTTGTATTCCTGAATGCCTTGTCATCGCAAAAACACACAAGCAGACCGACATGACATATATAGTTACACATCACGTAATATATTATGCAACTTCATTGGATCCCAGCAAACTTTCGTGAAATGTGTGCAATAATCGTGGTCAGAGTTGGCAGCCAATGCATGCAATAAATTATATTAAATTGTCTTTCTAAGCCATAGAGTCCTGACGCTTACATGACATATAATTCCCATAAGATTTATATTAAATTTGCCCAAGGATACTCAAAGCTTGGAAATATGTATCATTAATACACGATTTCTAATCACGAATCACGAATCACGAATCTAATCAATTTATCTTCGTCTATCTAATGATTTTCTTGTTGAATTGTATCATGAAATTTCCTATTCCACTATCCCCGATTCAATCAAGAATCGACGAAAACCTCAATAGTTTCTTTTTCTTTGCATAGATTATAATTCAAAATTTAATTATAAGTAATATTAGGGTAAACGTTTATTTGCGGGCAGCATATGTTAACAACATTTTTTTTATATTATTTATCACTAAAATATTGAAGATCGGCCGAAGAACAACAATACCACTGCAATATCTTAAAGCTACAATTAGCTAACTTCCTTATCCTTACCTCTAGATTTCTCTCTCCCTCTCTCTCTCTCTCTCTCTCTCTCTCTCTCTCTCGCTCTCTCTCTTAGTTTTCTTTGATAAAATCATATTTGCTATTCACCTTCATATATATGATTATGCATATACATACATATATAAAATATGTTATTTTATTGGTCATGTAAGCATAAATTTGTCATCAACATTTTGATTTCTACATAATTTTTGGTTTGATTTATTTTAAATAAATTTATCATTTTTAAAACAAACATTTTATTTTCATTTATTTTGTTTTTTTTTTTTTTAATTTTTAGACAAATTTTTTTTTAATTTCACACCACAGAAAAGAAAAAAAAAAATATTCATTAACACCTGACAACTTTATTTAGACAACCTACACGTTATGAAGTTATAAATCACTGAACTAACGGAATTCCTTGCAAATGATACGCACACGTATGAGCATACATATGCACAAACGCATAAAAATCAGCAGTCAGTTACTACAACTTACAAGAGGTCGATATGGTCACGCATAAATGTTCGCAAAGTTCTTGACAATGAGAGACCAGTGTAGACTATAACCAAATATCTATATATATATATATATATACATATATATAGGCATTTGCGCCCATATGTACAAAAATAACTACCACACGCAGCAAATATGTTATTAATTAAATATACACACCAAACCAAAAAAATTATATTTAAAGCAAAAAATAACAGGTAAGCGATGTATATTCAACTTAAGCCGAAACTTGAACACCGATAAGGTCTCATTTTTAGATGATTTTAAAAAAAAATTCCAACAATATTTTAATTACTACCAATCATAGGTAAGGTAATTAAAGGAAATATTAGATCATCAAATGTTAAGCCTATAAATGAAGAAACAAACGCATAGTTAGGTTTAAGTGTCTGCTGATATTCTTAAAAGCTTTATTTTTCACTTTCTTATCTTAGGCCAGATCAAAGTTCTTCATCTCATTTGTCGGCGTCCTTTAGATAGCGAGCCAACACCTCTTTCATACTATCATAATATATAGGAAGCAATGATAGACATTTTTTACGCTCAGTATTAGGTCTGTCTCTCAATTCTTCGTAACATTGGAATTAATTCCAGTATTAGATGAACGTTATTTGAACATTAGACTGAAATTCTAACGTCTTTTTACGGCTGTTGCAAACGATATGACGCAATTAGTGCATTTTGCTCGTTAGGTCATAAAAGCTTAAAAATTTAAGACACGTGCATGTGTAAGTTCAAATGCTTGAATCATACGCAATTTTTATTATCATTTCTAAAAAAGAGAGTATGTTCATTCAGCCGTGTCGTTTGTACCCCACATAAAAATTCTCATAAATGACTTGGTGAGGCGAGGAATATTTTAAATTGATTGAACTCATTTTATTTGTCTCTTTCCCTTTTACTAACATATTAATCATGATCTTGGGGCATTCCTTTTTCCGTTGAACAAACTAAGATCGCTCGTAAACTTCGCTACGTCTGTCAAATGCTTTTCGATGATGTTATGTGGGATAGACAAATGCATTATGGTTTTGAATGAAAACGAGATCTTCTGCTGCTTGTTACGCTATTGTTATTATTAAACAAAGGGCAACGATGAGTATGCAAGATTCGCCGCAAAACATATATATATATATATATATATATATAATAGAAGCCTATCTTGCTTGGGTCTATTTTATTACTTTAAATGTAAATTCACTAGCAATGATTTATGGATTTGTCATAACATGTTTGATAATCAAATATTTGATTAATAATTTTTAATATGTAGGCTGCGTTTAATACAATCTGACTTATAAAAGCATGCAAATGTTGCTTTAAATAAATTAAATTAAAAAAAAAACAAAAAAAAAACAAAAAAAAACAAAACAAAAAATGTGCAAATAAATATGTCAATAATTTTTTTTTTTTTTTTTTTTTATCATTATTATTATTTTATTTCAATTTCTTAGTATAACAATTTATGATTTCCATATGGAAATAAATAATCGAAATATATATATATATATATATATATATATATATATATATAAAATACGTTAACAAGCTTTAACTAACTAACATTGACATTATCAGTTATCTAGTGTTTTATGTAAGAATCCGTCATTGTATTTAAAATTATTACATTTAATACTTATTGCTTACGGTTATATGCATAAAGAATTGTGATCTCTTTACATGTCATGACATTAATGATGTTCACCATTATTACCTAAAAGCAATACATTCAAGCGCAACATTCTTGTGAAGGCTTGAGCAGCGTTACGTTGTAGAACGGACAGTGTACATGCATTGTTTGACATTAACCGTTCACTATTGATTGCATAAGCCTTATTTAAAATGACCAACGACAAGTTTTACACATAAGCCTGACTCATTTTTGTACGTATGTAAAATTTCAAAACCAATTTATATACATATATATATATATATATATATATATATATATATATATTATAGCGAACTGCGTTACGTATAAAAAAGAATCGCTTTCGAAAAGCTTAAACTCAACTATACTATATGATAAACTGTAGAAATACAATAAGTTTGCATATATCCTCGCATTTCGGTCCTCGTAATGATAGAATTTATCACATTTTATATACTTTACACGCGCATATACGAAAGATGGCAACTTTAAACTTGTTTAGATCGGAACTTAAACTTAAAGATTATTTCGAAATACTCATTACTAAAAACAACAACAACAAGATGACCTCCTCTTCTCCTTTATCGACTCGTAAATTAGTTTATTCAAATTCTGTTTGCTAAAAATGGTAAACGAGTTTTTGATTGTCGCCGATATCCACACATGTAACGATCAATCTCGGGAGAGAAAAGTCACAACATGCCATCATGAAACAAATGTAACAAATTGTAGACAAATTCAAATTTTCAATAATGTTTCTGCGATCGTGGCTACTAAATTCGATTGTTTGACAAACGACCGAAACTCTTCTATTACTGAACAACGATGCAAATATATATCATTTCCAAAAAGTTTTTTTAAACATCGCATGTGAAAGTTTATCTCTTACCGCCAGTCATATAAGCAAAATTACTCTTGCTATTCCGAAACTAATGCACTAAAACAACTATCGCATCTATATTAAAAATAGTATTCGCCCCAGGTGTCGGGAAATTTAGGAATCCCTTCCGTTATGCTTTGGCTGACCATAAATTGAAAATGAAAAAACGTATGCAAACAAAACAATGAATTGTTTTAAACGAACCTTGATGTAAGAAGCTTTATAAATGAATACAAAAAACTAAGGTTTCACTTACTAACAATCGATCAGAATGATCGATAGACATGAATAATAACATAATTTTTTGGATTAATTCGACAAGAAAAAGTTGCGCCTAAAATGCTGCTAATAGTTACTATTGCTAATAGTTAGTGTACTGTCTCAAAACATTCTTTGACATCAATAGCCGACTAATCCAAATATTATTTTAAATTATCTTTGGGGTCGTTAAAGAAGTACATTAACCGTTCTCTGGCTCTTCCAGTCCCCATCGAATACCCAGATGATTTCAATTTTTAAATAAACT